ATTGGGTAAATCGACACTTGTATTCGGTATAGTAGTGCATTGGTTTTATAGGGTAAATCGACACGTGTATTGGGTATAGTAGTACATGGGTTGTATTGGGTAAATCGACACTTGTGGTTGTATTGGGTAAATCGACACTAGTATTGGGTATAGTAGTACATGGGTTGTTTTGGGTAAATCGACACTTGTATTGGGTATAGTAGTACATGGGTTGTATTGGGTAAATCGACACTTGTATTCGGTATAGTAGTGCATGGGTTTTATAGGGTAAATCGACACGTGTATTGGGTATAGTAGTACATGGGTTGTATTGGGTAAATCGACACTTGTATTGGGTATAGTAGTGCATGGGTTGTATTGGGTAAATCGACACAAGTATTGGAAAGTGTAGTGCATGGGTTGCATTGGGTAAATCGACACTTGTATTGGGTATAGTAGTGCATGGGTTGTATTGGGTAAATCGACACTTGTATTGGGTATAGCAGTGCATAATTTGTTTTGGGTAAATCGACACTTGTATCGGGTATAGTAGTGCATGGGTTGTATTGGGTAAATCGACACTTGTATTGGGTTGTATTTGGTTAATCGACAAATGTTTTGGGTATAGTAGTGCATTGGTTGTATTGGGTAAATCAGTCATTGTATTAGATTTAGTAGGGCATGTGTTGTATTGGGTAAATCGACACTTGTATTGGGTATAGTAGTGTATGTGTTGTATTGGGTAAATTGACACTTGTATTGGGTATGGAAGTGCATGGGTGGTATTGGATAAAGCGACACTTGTATTGGGTATAGTAGTACATGGGTTGTATTGGGTAAATTGACACTTGTATTGGGTATGGAAGTGCATGGGTTGTATTGGATAAAGCGACACTTGTATGGTAAATCGACACTTGTATTGGGTATAATTGGGTATAGTAGTGCATGGGTTTTATTGGGTAAAGCGACACTTGTATTGGGGATAGTAGTACATGGGTTGTATTGGATAAATTGACACTTGTATAGGATATAGTAATACATGGTTTGTATTGGATAAATTGACACTTGTATAGGATATGGTAATACATGGGTTGTATTGGATAAATCGACACTTGTATTGGGTATAGCAGTGCATAATTTGTTTTGATAGTAGTGTATGTGTTGTATTGGGTAAATTGACACTCGTATTGGGTATGGAAGTGCATGGGTTGTATTGGATAAATCGACACTTGTATTGGGTATAGTAGTACATGGGTTGTATTGGGTAAATCGACAAATAGCATAAGTTCTATCGAGCTTTTGACCAACAAAATCCTTAACCAAAAAATGTAGGACATTTTATTTTATATATCTCCTTTTGGGAGTCCCATGTTTCCCGGGCTTAGACCTACACACTATCTGTATTTGTATATTTGTTTAAAATTGGATTGTTTTGTAATAAAACAGTGTTCAGGGATTACATGTCAGTGATAATTTTGTACTCTTATTTAGAAACTGACAAAGAGATGTCGCCATCACCAAAATATATCTGAACAGATTTTAAAAGGAAGCCAGAATACAAAGTTGTTAATTATTAACTTTCTGAGATAGACCGCCCCTTTACATACGAATGTAAAGATAATCTGAAGAGTATACACTTGAATGAGCAAGCATGTCTGAAAACAAATTTTGTTCTAAAGAATAATATTACCGCATATGGTTTCAAGTACAGATAAGTGTTATTGAATCCGTCTTACTGCAATCCGACATTCTTTGTCCATGACATATAATTACTGAGGTAACATGCAATTATTTCCTGTGTTAACCTTGAAATACACGAGCAAACTATCATGCTTATTAATATATACATGTATGTTTGTGGTGTAAAAACGTTTAAATAGAACATTTTCCAATCATATAATGTATTTGTTACTGTTTATTATTTGACTACCAAATTTACCGATTAACCAGTTACTCGATCGGTAGAAGAGTAACCGGTTACAAAAATAAGACCTGTTTGAAAACCCTAGTATTATGGCATTGGGATCATTTTCTGATGTATCACCTGCGACTACTTGGTTAGCTTTGGCACCTTATGGTGTAACGGTTCGTTACGAGTAGATATTGTTATACCTTCCAGAGCAATGATTTCACATCTGCTTTAATAAGTAAGTTCATGTTGTATAAAAATGTGTGTACTGTGTTCCTTTGGCCAAAGAAAGGTGTCCTTTGTCTTTAAAAAAACTCTCTATGTTTAGGATATTTAGTGGAATGGCAAGTATATGAATAATAGATAAATTGATGAATACAGGTACTGTCATTAAAAGAAGTTGTAAAATATGTGTTAATCTCTAATAATAATAATAATAAATAATAATATACATTATATATATATATCTGAACGTCTCACTGAAAGGCCCGGATATTGTGCTAATTTGGGCGTAGCTATTTTTATCACGGCTTTCCCAAAAGATGAAAATGACGACACTGGACGTTGTCTTCAGGTCATGCTATTATCAACTACGTTAACATATAGTTTTAATATTATAGTTTCTCAACCGTTTTAAAGTTATGACCCAAGGGTTAGGTCTGCAATGGTAGGGTAGACCCTAGGGTCAATTCTAATATCATGACTGCATTCGTCTCTTTATGCCCAACAATTGTATATATAGTTTTGAGGTGGGGATCTTAACCATTTCAAAGTTGTGACCGTGGGACTATGTCTCATAGGGTAGGGCCAGACCCTAGGGCCATCCTGGAAGCAAATGTGCTTTCTTCTCTTTATACTCAGCAATTGTATACATGGTTATACGGTGGAGAACTCAACCATTTCCAAATAATAAACTTGTTTTGGCCCCACCCCTTAGCCCGGGGGGTCAGCCCCACCATTTGTATAATTTTGAATCCCTGCCTCCCATGAATGCTTCCGACCAAATATAATGGATATCCATGGCATAGTTCTACAGTAGAAGTCGTTTATAGCAATATAGCCAAATTGCCCCCTTTTTGGCCCCGCCCTCAGCCCCACCATTTGTATGAATCCCCTCCACCTAGGGATGCTTCCAGTCAAATATGGTTGATATCCACTTCTTAGTTCCAGAGAAGAAGTCGCTTATAGGAATATTGCAAAATTGACCCCTTTTTGCCCCGCCTCTCAGCCCCCTGGGGGGTCAGCTCCATCATTTGTACAATTTTGAATCTCTGACACCTAGGGATGCTTCCAATTAAATTTGGTTGACATCGACTTCTTATTTCCAGAGAAGAAGTCGCTTAAAGCAATATAGCCAAATTGACTCCTTTTGGCCCCGCCCCTCAGCCCCCTGGGGGGTCAGCCCAACCATTTGTACAATTTTGAATCCCCACCACCTAGGGATGCTTCCAGTCAAATTTAGTTGAATTCCAATCAGTGGTTAAGAAGAAGAAGTCGTTTAAAGAAATTGTTGACGGATGGACGGACGGATGGACGACAGACGCCACGGTATGGCATAAGCTCACCTTGGTCCTTCGGACCAGGCGAGCTAAAAAACAAGAATGGTGTCAAAAATAGAAACTCTACAATAACACTCTTTCACTTTTTTTCCCACCAATACAAAAAGATGCCTATGGACATTTTTAAGTGCAGTTGAATGGAGATGTGTGGTATTGGTTGTATTGTATTACAAACCAACCATTGCTCTTCAAATGTATTTTATACTTTCTGTAAACAATAAAACATTGCCTATCCTTTTTAATCCTTGATACTCCAGGGGTTACGCTTACTTTCGCTCTCTGCACCCCTAGAATGTCATGGCAAAATTGGAGGCATGCAGCTAGCTATTTGATTGGTCTTGGGTAAAAAGAACCTGACCAATCTCAGGCTTCGAAGATTACAGAGGAGTGACACCCGACTTCAAAGCCAGTCAATTTTGCCGTTACGTAACAACATATTCTTTTGATGTACATCAACGGATCAAACAAGTCTTCTCGTCTCATCCACAATTTCTTTAAACGACTTCTTCTTAACCACTCTTTCGAATTCAACTAAATTTAACTGGAAGCATCCCTAGGTAGTGGGGATTCAAAAGTGTACACATGGTGGAGTTGACCCCCTATGGGGCTGAGGGGCAGGGCCAAAAGTTGGTCAATTGGCTATATTGCTACAAACGACTTCTTCTGTAGAACTATGCATTTTATATTAATCATATTTGAACAAAAGCATTCATGGGCGGTAGTGATTCAAAATTGTTCAAATGGTGTGACTGATCCCTCAAGGGGCTGAGGGACGGGGCCAAAAAGGGTATTTGGCTGTATTGCTTTAAGCGACTTCTTCTCTTGAACTAAGTGATGGATATCAACCATATTTAACTGGAAGCATCCCTAGGAAGTGGGGATTAAACATTGTACACATGGTGGGGCTGACCCCCAGGGGGCTTAGGGGCGGGGTCAAAAGGGAACAATTTGGCTATATTGCTACAAATGACTTCTTCTGTAGAACCATGCAATGGATATCAATCATATTTGATCAAAAGCATTCGTGGGAGGCAGGGATTGAGAATTGTTCACATGGTGTGACTGATCCCTCAGGGGGCTGAGGGGTGGGGCAAAAAAGAGGGTATTTGGCTGTATTGCTTTAAGCGACTTCTGCAACTCAGAGATGGATATGAACCATATTTGACTGGAATCATCCCTAGGTAGTGGAGATTCAAAATTGTACAAATAGTGGCAGATATTGACGGACGGACGACGGACGCCACGGTATGGCATACGCTCACCTTGGTGACACCCTACAAAGGTGTTGTAATATATCTACATGTATGATGTTGCGTTGAAGACTCACACAAAATTATTGTGGTAAGTATCAATGATGTTGTTTAGTGGAGGTACACGCTATCACTGTGGTCAGTACCTATGATGAAGTGTAGAGGACGCACACTGTATCGCTGTTGACGTATGACGTATCAAACATGATAAATGGTTGACGTACGCGTATCACTGTGGTCTATACATGTACTAATTAATCTGTTTGAATGATATGTGTTCCTCGTTTCTTCTCATTAACACAGGTGTGACTGCTGAATTATGTACTGCAGCATACTACTACTACAGCTACAGCTACAGCTACTACACCTACTACAGGTACACCTACTACATCAATTGTGACACTGGTTGCTGCGGCTATTATTATGCCCGGGAATGCTGTACTTCATCGTAAGTATCAGACATCATATCGAATATACACGTCTCGCGAAAAAACCGTGTAAGATCTTATAGAGTCACCTAGTCTGATTATCAACTGTACAATGTGATGATATATTTTCTCCAAATACATATGTATATAAAAGTATTACAGTTGTGGGATTGCACAACATTACACGATGTGCGGTTTGCGAACGATGTGTGCACGAAGTGCGAACGATAAAAATTCGGATTATAGTTGCTTGCGCACATTTGTGCGGACGATCGACGAACGTTGTGCTATAACAGTCGTGGTTGGTGTAAATTGAGGAATGGCTTAACAATATATACGGTTTCGTGTTTAAACATATACGCTTGATATTTTTAGTGAGTTTCTATATTCAAGCTACATCTATAAGCATATCTTTCTGTCTATACTTTCTTAAATTTAGAAATGGGGTTTTCGGTTTGCCGACCTTAATCGACCCATGTAAAATTACAACACAGTCTCGGCAACACAGGTAAACATAGTCACTTTGTACCTGGACCGTAGTTTTCCCCCGCCCGGGGCACTTACGTAACTCGCCAAGGTGTGAAAACTAGGTGAAGGGGAGCTATATCCAAAACGAATGCAAATAACAAATATTAAACGTCCAGTTGTGTTTTCATAACGGTCATACGGTATCACATGTCATGCAAAAGCCAGGTAAAACTCAGGTCACTCATCAAATTGTTATTTACCTGTTCCGTTACCGAGGAGCCAAACCCATTCTTGACAGTCTAACGGTCACTGTATACTGTGTTACACGCATTGGAAAATTGTAAATAATCCTAATTATTAAGATTAGAAATTACAGTAATATATACAGTGTACATTATTGTATACGAGCTTTCCGTATTTGTTTTATTCCGTAATATTGATCAACAAATTGTACCAAATCGCACAGTTGTGAGGAGCGAAGCGCACAGCGGGGCGAACGATTGTTAAATCGCACAGTTGTGCGTACCATGTGTGGACGATGTGCGGACGGTGTGTGAACGATGTATGCACGGTGTGCGCACGGCATTTTTGGTGCGTTGTGCGGTCCAACAACTGTACTAAAGATAGCTATTATATATTACATTCAATTGATGATATATCTGTTCCAATCATGTTTATACTTTCATAGAGCTGGTACCATTGCCGGAGCGGTCATTGGCTGTATTTTTTTCATCGCCTGTATCGTTGTCTTTATCATCGTCATCAAGTCCTGTAACAAGAAAAGGACTGGTGTTATTGTCGCAGGGCAAACTGGTGGAACTGGAAACGTCACGGTCGGTAAGTGTTATTAAAGAGAGTTTTTGTAGTTATTTATGAGGATATAAACGAAGCTCAGACGATTCAGGTGAATGACTTGCCAAGGCCTTGAACTCAAGATCTTTGACACAGAATCAAATAGTTAAGATCAATACAAAGATATGCAATTGATACAATTAGCATATACTATTCAATACATTTTTTTAGGAATTCACAAGAGCAGCCTTAGCAGGCGCTAACTACTAGTTCTATGGCACCTGGCTAATATCTTCCTATGTGTGTATGCCTGCGTGTGTACTGGAGATGTAGTGTTCTGTGTACAACTTTCATATGAAATAAAAAAAATCGCAGAAATGTCAGTGCTTATTTTGAATTCTGTGTTATACATATTATGCAGTGTTGTTTCCAGCGAAAGACATCATTCTTGTTTATCATTTCGATAACTAAACCTGATGGAACAGATAGAGTGAATGACATTTGTTAATTAATTCTCTGCACTATTCTATACACTAAACATTCGTTGTTTTCGTGGTTGCTATGGAACGAAACAATTGCTTCACACCACTAAAGAAAATACCTACTTAATACATTGCAGCGCTGATATCAACATATCCATTTTACAAAGTATATCTGACTACATTTGTAAAACTAATAGGCTTGATATGTAATCTCAATCACAGCTAAACTTTACATCGAAAGTGATGCTATTATTTATAGTGTCATGATCACTCTGGTAATAATGGAATTCATGAGTGTACTATTCTATAACCTAGCTATTTCATAGTTACATAAATATTCTATAGTGCTTTGTTAAATACATTTTAAGAGAATATTCAATCTTCAATCTTCAATATACAATAAATATTCGTGGTTTTCGTGGTTGCTTCGGAACCACGAAAATAAATAATACAACGAATTCGACTGAGATAGTTCACTACTGTTTGTAAGGGGTATCCATGACTGTTTGTTGCACGAAACAATCTAAGTTGCTTCAAACCACTAAAGAACATACCAAAGAACATTTCAAATCATGTAGCATACTTCTAGATATGGCAGTAAATGATGCTTATACTGATAAATGTACATAGATATACACCAACATTTGTACATGTATTCATACTCAGAAAATCGTTTCAGTCTTACTTACTAGACATTCATTAAGTTTTTTTATAGTTAACAGTACCACCCAACAGCAAATGCAACAACAGCCGCAGGGAGCTTATCCTCCTCCTCCACAGTATGGGGGACAACCTCAACCATATGGGGCCTATCCTCAGCCACAACCAGCATATGGGGGCCCTCCTCCTCCACCATACGGTGTCCAACCTCAACCACATGGGGAGCAAGCCGGACCGGCTTATCCACCTCCACCAGCAGTAAACCATCCCAATCAACCAGAGAGGTACTAACTCCAATCAAGCAGACTGGACGTCATAACAGCTTACCTTTGGATAAAAGGTTACATACAGAGAATCTAGGAACATGACCATCCACATAGATTGTGGGTAAATATTTAGTGAGGTTGAGAAACAGCTGAAACAAATATTAAATAAGTCCGTTTAAGCCCGAGTGATTTTTTTCAAAAAAAAGTAGATTTATATATTTTACAATTTTATGAATAACAATTGCTGATTATATCTATTCTACCAAGTACTTTGTAATTAAAATGTGTTTTCGTATTAACCCTATATCCACGCTCTTTACTTATGTATTTAACAAGTTTGCGTATTTATCCTTTTTGATGTTGTGAGCTTGTTGCTCTATTTTGCCTGCTACGTTTGAAATTAAGATATATTTGGAAAAGATGATGTGTGCCTTATTATTTGTTGATCAATCATTAATTTACTAGAAATTCTATTAACCAAAGATTATGCATCCTTCCTGAGCTTGTCCTATCAGTCTGACTAAGTTGAGTGAAGTTTTTGTATGTGTACCTTTTTGGGTATAAAAAGTTGCACTTGTAGTTGCCATTTGGTTTCTCAATTCAGCAAAGAATTAACTGTGCAATCACTCTTAAACTTACGAACAATTTTCAAGTACCATTCCAAACAAGTTGAGTGGAACATTCTGATCGCGAGCTTGGTTAACTGTTTTGTTTTGTTAGCACAATCACAATATATCTAACAAATGCGTTTAGCATCACTCGACAAAAGAAACCAACTCCTGCACAATGAACTATTCCATCCTTTGAATTGGAAGAGTTCAAATGTGGTTTTAGAGGTGAATGAGTTAGTTCGAAAATAATATATGCATGCTCATATATTATCATCCAATAGTATGTGGTAATAACTAATGAAAAGTGTCGTTACATCGCAAACATGGTAGAGATTCAAAACTAGAGTAGTATTTATCAATACAGTGTGTTTAGTGTGTGGTCATAACCAATGAAATGTGTCGTAACATCACACACATGGTAGAGATTAAGTCATAAGTAAGTGGTATTTAGTAATACAGTGTGTTTAGTGTGTGGTTATAACCAATAAAAAGTGTCATTACATCACTCACATGGTAGAGATTAAGTTATACTCACGTGGTATTTATCAATACAGTGTGTTTAGTGTGTGGTTGTAACCAATGAAAAGTGTCGTAACATCCCACACACTGGATATATTCAATTATTCTAAAGTGATATTTATAATACAGATTGGTTAACATTATATTTGAATTTGATACTAGATGCTAATGACCAACTGCTTTGAGCCTGTACTAATAAATGAAAGACATGTCAAAAACATCATAGGAAAATGAAAAATTGCCTGTCCACTTAAAGACAAATGTAGGAAACTGTTAATTTACGTATCAATGTTAATATATATCTAATATGAATGAATTTAGATCATCATTAATTTTACACTTTCTGAACATGTCGATTTCAAGGGAAATACAGCCTTGTGGTACATGAAAATTATATCTGTAAAATTGTGAAGGTTAAATTTGTAATTGTCAAGATAGATATTTTATGTTCATTGATGGATAGATTTAGCTGATATATATATATTTAACTTTTGCTTTTTTTTCATGCGTCAACATTTCAATTTATATTTCACATTTTGGTTTGAAATGATAAACAATATTTTTTGGATATGCATGTGTTTGTTAATGATATAAACCTTAACTGGTTCAACAATAACACTCAGTAAACAATAATCCTTTAAACTGCAGTTCAATCAGTGTTCTTACCCTCCCATATACTTTTTTAGTCACTTTTATCATTTCAACATTGCATACACCTATAACGTTATTGAAAACATTGCAGCTCTTCTGTGGTAATTGAACTATGATCAAAGGACCACGGCATCTTTATTTGCGACTAAATCGTCCAATAGTTAAACATTAAGCGTTTTCTTCAATAAATAAAAGATTTCATGACGTAAAGTCTAGAAATCTTACCATAATCTTTATACCGTAAAAACCCATGTAATTTGCGCACCTATGTAATTTGCGCAGGTACTTTTTGAGGCTGAATATCCCAAAAAGAGCTTCTACTCAAATATTTGAGCACCAAAATATTTTGGAAAAAAACGATGTTCAAGTTCCGAAAATCGTTCTCTGAAAATGAAAGCCAACCGATTGGGATCCTTAAGATTTTTGTTATTTGTTTATTATAAGTGAGTTCATAAGTGTTGTTTACAGGTACAATGATGTTAAAAATAAGAAGAAACTGCGTAAAATGTTTATTTCGTTGTTTGTTTCCTTTGAAATATCTGATCACACATGACACACACATGTTCGCATATCGGCATACATCAATTCATTTTAGCAATATTTTACATAAAACATTTACTTGCTTACAAAAAAATATCAATTAATAAGTAATTCGATGTTTAGTAACCGCTGGTGCATATCTCCTGGTGAAAGACATAATTAAATACATTTTATTGATCATAATTACGATCAGTGAGAAGGGCTCATCATGGCGGCTTGGGTATCGTCACTTCAAACCAGGTCATGTCACAGTTCAGTTTGGCGATATGTTTTGGCCACACAATTTTTACTGTAAAATTATACAGAAGAATATTGTTGCCTCATTTTCTTTTTAAAACACCTTTAATATTGCCGTTCGTTTAAAACTCCCAATAAAGACACCAAAGTTCTAAAAACATTGTACACGTTCGTGTAAATGCCTCATTGAGAAAGTTGTTTTGAATTCAACTGCTATTATTGACTAGAGAAGCGTCGTTCCGGTTCAAAGATCTTTTAAAGATTTAGTCGGTCGTATAAGGTAAGCCTCCATTTATTAACGTATTTGGTGATTCAAGTTCACGTATAAGCAATGCACACGTGCTCATTGTCCTATAGTATAGGTATACACCAGTTTACAAGGAAGTTTTTTGACGGAACCAAGTACAAACAAGGACATATTATAAACACTATAAATAGCATGCACCTTTAGTTACAA